AAAATTAAAGGCGTGTGGTGCCTATATTGCTCGTAGAGAGCAGCAATAGTTAGTACAATTTTTAACGGCACTTCGCCGTGATTTTGAATGACTTAGAGGTTCAATTTTATATCGTTTTCCACTTCCTTCTGTTGACTCAGTTGTCAGTGAGTTATTGGCTGCAAAATACGTCTTAAGTTTTATTCTGAAAAGGGAATTCTTTCTACTTCTAATCCTTCTGTGTTAGCAGTGCATTTTAAGTCATTCTCTAATAATCAGAATCTGTTTTACGCAAGGGCTGCCCCCGACGAATGCAATTTCTGTAAGCAGAAAGGTTATTGGAAGGTTCAGTGTCCTAAATTGAGACAGCAAAATCGAACCGTACAAAATATCATGCTATGGCATCTACTATGGGAGTTTTTCCTTCTCATCCCACTCCTATGGTAAAATCGTAATTGTTTGGTTACATTGGTTACTTACAAATATGAGAGTTTTTACTTCTCATCCCACTCATATGTATTGTGATAACCAGAGTTCTATTCAAATTGTTCACAACTCGATTTTTCATGAACGAACTAAGCACATTGAGATCGATTGTCACATTACTTGTCATCATCTCAAGCATGACACAATTAATTTGCCATTTATTCCTCTTCTTTGCAGCTTGCGGATTTCTTTACCAATTCACATTCTATTTCCCATTTTTGTTTTCTAGTTGGCAAATTCTTGATACTTGTAGCTGCTGCATCGTGAGTTTGATGAGAGATATTAAAAAATATAGAGTTATTTTATTTTATTGTTTATTAAGGGTAGAATAATTTATTCAATTTCCTTTGTTTAGCCTATATATAGTCTCTTTATTTCTAGGTTAAATTATCTTTTTGTATTCAATTGCATTATGCAAAATTAATAAAACTCTAACATCCTCTTCTTTTTCTTTATTTTTTTGGATTGTTTAACATAGTTTACTCTTGAGTTGGGCATAGTGGTAGGCTTCAAATAAAAAAGAAAGAAAGAAAGTGGTAATGATTCTTTTATTTTAGATCTAATTTTTTTGTGACCGATTTTTAATCATCTCTTTTCTTTTCATTAAACGTTTTTGAATTCTACTCCAAAGCAAACACCAATTATCGTGGGAGAATTAATGGACATTTGCATTCCTTTTGTTGTCCTCAATGAAATCAACTAAGAAAAGGACATCCTTATGTTTCCTAGTATATTTAAAACACGATACTCCTCAAAATCATTACATCAATCAAATACTATCTCCTGCGTGATTAATTCTTTGAAAAAATATCTCTTTATATTCGAAGCATCAACAAGAACTCCGATAAAAAAGTTTTTGTGGACAATTATGAATTTGTAATTTGGTGCTCACATGTATGGGTACGGAGAGTACGACATGCCCCCGGTCTGGTTTTATGACTTCTATTATCAAATTCCACAAAATAGCACCTACCTTTTCTACACAGAGTTGGTGCCTAAAGCTAGAAGAAGGCCAATCTATTTTCATGAACATGATTACTTGTTTCGTACACCAGAAGACGAGGAAAACAATTTGTACACCATAGATTTCACAAAATACTTAGATTTTCTTGATTGTGACGAGAAGATGGAAAGACTAGACAATACAAATTACTCGAAATTCATAACTTTTCTTGAGCGTGGCGACTCTTTTTTTACTCCATGGAATCGGAACCCTAAACCAATAGGGAGAAATAATGGCATCGCATATGGTGGTTCGAAGGAGTACATGAAGTTCCAACAAGGATTATTCTTCTCATTCGATGTACATTCTCCTTTTTCCCCTCTCCTTTTCACGCTAACTTTTATTTATTTTTTAAACAAACTAACACGAAGTTCTAAAATTTATTTCGTGCCCGAAAATAAATTACAAAGTATTTGCTTTGGCAGGTTTGTGAAGTGATCAAGAAACATTATCAGATTTCAGCCTAGGCACTCTTAAGGAGTTGATTCCAAACATTGGAATTGTCTATTAAATTTTCTAGCTATATGTTTATATTATCCCAAAATATAGGAAAAATAATATTTAGTAGGTTTATCGCATAGCATACAGTAATTGATATTTGTACGAATTAACTATTGAATATCAGAGAGTTTTCGTGCTTAAAATTGTCTTTTTTTGCCTTTTCAATTATTTAAATTAGAGAATAAAATTGTCATTTTATATGTAATTGAACTTTATCTTTTTTTCTCCTTGTTTCTTATTTAGAATATGATTTCTCGTTTCTTTTAGATTAAGAATTTTTTTTTTTTTTTTTTTGGATTTTATATTTACTACTTTAGGATTAGTGAACTAATTTACATATACAAATATAAGCTTGTCTACCTTTTCAATTACCACTCCTTAATACAATCAAATTACTCTTACGAACATTTCGATTTTTAATTATTGACTTTCATCACACTTGAAACTGCATGAGTGTTATGTACCTAACATAAATTAGGCAAATCTCATAATTTATTGCCTTAATTATGAGAAAAATATAATATTAATACTATGTTACCGTTGTCTAGGTTCATAATTTGTGGTGTCCAAGAACCAAAATAAATACACCAAACGAAGTTTCCCAATAAAATAAATCACTATCCACCAAACCAGGAAAATAATTAATTTGCCCTACAATTTTCTAAGTTACCTTATTTAACCCAATCACAGCCATAAAAGACACAAACTCTCTCTCTCTCTCTCTCTCTCTCTCTCAGAGCCACAACCCGCAAGAACTCTTCAAC